TTGGTAACACGGTCTTCGCTAAGACTCTTTAGTGATCAGAATTTTGGAAAATATTTTTACATGGTTAATTTATGGTTGGAGTGGATCACAGTGGGTGTCTTATGTAGATTTTCCGATCTGCCTTTTCGAATCCAACTGACGAAACTCCTATATATTGTCTCCTCATTCATATATAATATTTACAGTCCTGGATCTTAAATTACCAATTCCTTGCCAAATAAATCCCAAATGCAGAGAGCCATTTTTCGAAAATTTCGTTATTTTCACTGACCCGCAGACGTATTTCAAATTTTCAATCTAAGATAGTTCCAAGTTCCATTAAGGAAGACATCCCAGTTTAGATTCAAACATGATTCTGGAGACTACACCTGATTCAGGGTAGTATTTAAATGTAAGCTGAACATGACAAGTGCTGATCACAGAAAAGAATAATAAAAGTCTCTTCCTCATAAAAAATTAAAGTAAAACATACCCCGAAAATCTCCATTTTAGATGGATAACGCTTTCCTGGTGTAAACAAGAAATTAGAAAACCCAAACTAAATGAAGAGAAGGCAAACTGCACCGCAGCTTAACAGGACGGAAACTCTGAAGTCAGGTAAAAAAAATTTTCATGTCATCTTATTTACACACAGGCGTGCGAAAATGAAGAAATGTAAAATCGTTTCCGTGTTTACATAGCCTGATGTAAACACGCGGGAGGTTGGGAGAACACGTCATAAGCAGCGTATCGAGTGTATCCCAACCTCCCAAGTGTTTACATCAAGCTATGTAAGCACGTAAATGTAGTACATTTCTTTTATAAAATAACTAATGAAAGAGGAACGAAAACTGTGTTTACATACGCTCATGTAAAATGGTTTTCTGGCCAATCAGAGCGCGCGTACTATTCGAATTATTTTATGATAAAGATTTTGTTCATAGTAGCTCAATAGGAGTTATATAGGGCTAGGACGCACGCTATGTTATAATAAAGAATTTGTCCATGCTTAGCGTGCGTAAATCGAGGTATGGATGTACGCGGGAAGTTTGAAGAGCACGAGATACCTCTTACTAACTGAGTTCAAGGGCCGCTCTGCATGTTACGGACTGAGTTTTTTT